AAAAAATGAAAATATATATTTATTGTTTCTAAATTCTTCTTCTTAGCCTAATATTTCTGAGATTCATTCATGCGTTATGAACAAAATTGCTGTAAACACTCATGTATTTGTTGAGTCTGGAGCTATTTAACTTTTAAAGAGACTGCCAAGTTATTTACACAGTGATTTTGCACTCCTGCCAGCTGTTAGCTCTCAGTCCCTGTGCTGTTCAGCCACTCAGAGACACCGGCTTCCTTCTCATGGCTCTGATGTCTGAGAAAGCTGGCTGAATGCTTGTCATGTGTCTGTAAAACTTTCACATGTCTGTCTTCCAGTGTCTCTTTACATCATCTTCCTGTTTATAACCAGAGCTATTACTCCTACTACTAAGATGAGCTATAGTCCAAGAACTATAGAGGGTTGGCACTTTAGACCAGTCTATGAATTGACTTCTCATTTTTCTATCAGTGCAGCTCAAAGATAAAATTCTGATTCTGGTGGTCGAGTTTATAAATTTTTATTTCATTGTTTATGTCATTTTTTGCTATGCCTGGGAAATCTTTTCCTTCAGGCAAGAAAAATTTGTAGATAATTAACAGCATAATCTCATGACTTTGGGAGTCCTTTAATATCTTCCCTCAATGTTATGTAGTCTCAATGTGTAGGTGGTTTACATTTTTGTTAAATATGTCCTTAGGCCCTCCATATTTGGTTATATTACCAACAGCAATATTATAAATATTCAAGTTTTAAGTGTTGCTTTGCATATAAATACAATTAATTTTGTATATGGAAATATTGCTACTTAGAGTAGGTTTTTGATAGAGCCCATTTTTTTTTACATTTGGTCGTATATGTGAATGAAAACATTCTAATTCTTTTCCAGTTTGTATGCTTGTTATTCCCTTTCCTTGCCTCATTGCACTAGCTAAGACTTCCAGTGTAGAGAAAAAAAAACAGGACAGTCCATTTCAAACAACCTTAGAGAGAATAAGGCTTACACATTACAGAGGAGCAGCCTTCGTCTTCCTGACTACTACTACTCAAACCAGAAATTAATCTTACAGTAAAACAAAACAAAACAAAAATGAACAAAAAAAGTCATAGGCAGCCTGTGTAGGGGACTAAGTCCGTGTTTCTAGTAACAAGATACTAGATCCTCTAGAAAAGAGGAGGCTAGCAAAAGAAGTCTCTGTTGTGGGAAGTAACTGCAAATGGGAAGGGAATAAAGGCACCACCATCAGGGAATGTTAAACCTAAGTGAGCATGGTGAAGATTTATACTTTAAAGTACTTGACCAATGAGAAACTGAGAAAGGGATCTGCATGGTTTATGAAGAGGTACAGGGCATAGACTGCTGTGGAGCAAGGGAGAATCATCTTTCTCCAGGGACGAGCTCCCTGACAGGCTAGCTTTTGACCACTTGACACAAGCTAGAGTTATCTGAGAGAGCCACCATTGTGAAAATACCTCTGTAAGACTGGCCTGTAGGCAAGGCTGTTTGGCATTTTCTTAATTAGTGATTGACCTGGGTGGATCTACCTCAAGGCAGGTACTGCTACCCCAGGGCAGGTGGCCCTTGGATATATAAGAAAGCAGGCTGAGCAAGCCCGGAGTCAGTAAGGAGCACTCCTCCAAGGCCTCTGCATCAGTTCCTGCCTCGAGTTCCTGCCATGACCTACCTGGATGATGGACTAGAATCTGTAAGATGAAATAAATTCTTTCCTCCCTAAGTTGCTTTTGGTCATGGTGTCTTATCACATCAATAGAAGCCCGAATTAAGACACAAGTGATCAGTGCTGGACATGAGTGTATATTTCAGTGACACCAAACAGACTCAGTAAGGTATATATATATAGTATTACAATTAAATATCAATATATTTATATGATAGAAATAGATTTTATTGACCAATTTAATATTAATATAATAAAAATATGTTATATATTATATGTATTAATTGTAATATATATTGCAAGTAAAGAAGAGGTCTTGAGTTTGAGAGGGAGTTAGTTGGGGGAGGAATAGGAGGAGTTGGAGGGGGTAGAGGGAGGGGTGGAAATGACGTGAATACGGTATTCACATAGGAAATTCTGAAAAAAATTATCACCGCTGTGGTGGTATTGTGTTCCCCAAAATATTGTGCACCCTAATAAACTTATCTGAGGTCAGAGAACAGAACAGCCACTAGATATAGAGGCCAGAAAATGGTGGCACACGCCTTTAATCCTAGCATTCCAGTGGCAGAAATCCGCCTGGATCTCTGTGAGTTCAAGGCCACACTGGAAACAGCCAGACATGGTGACTCACGCCTTTAATCCCAGGAACTGATGGCAGAAAGCAGAAAGGCATTTAAGGCATGAGGATGAGGAACTAGATGCTGGTTTAAGCTTTCAGGCTTTTGAGAAGCAGTTCAGCTGAGATCCTGTTCAGAGGCTCTTTCCCTGTGCCAATGTGTTCAAGCTTATTCCACACTCTTCTGTCTTATCAGATTCAAGGTATCTGGCTTTGTGTTGAGGTCTGTCTTAGTTAGGATTTCTATTGTTGTGAAGAGACACCATGACCACGGCAACTCTTATAAGGAAAACATTTAATTGGGGTGGCTTGCTTACAGTTTTGGATAAGGACTCAGAGGTTTCCAGTCTGAGGAAACAGGATCACCTGAGGAACTGGCAAGTTGAGGTGGCTGTGGCTTGTTCTGCTTCTCTGATCTTCCAGCATTCACCCCAATACCTGGCCTCAGGTTTGATTTTATTAGTAAGACCATTTAAGATTCATGCTACACACCATCCCAGATTTCAAAGTGTACTACAGAGCCATAGTAATAAAAACAGCATGGTAGCTGCATAAAAACAGATGTAATGATCTGGAATTGAATCTAAGATGAAAACTTAAGTCCATGCTCATATGGACATCTGACTTTTGCCAAAGAAACAAACAAACAAAACAAAACAAAACAAAACAAAAACATACTAGAGAAAAGACAGCATCTTCAACAAATGGTGCAGGTCCAACCGGATGGCTGCCTGTAAAGGAATGCAAACAGATTCCATATTCATCACCTCACACAAAATTCAACTCTCATAGGCCAAGGACTTTGTGGCAGTTTGAATATAATTGGCCCCATTACATCACAGGGAGTGGCCCTATTAGGAAGTGTGGCTTTGTCGGAATGGGTGTGGTTGTGTTGGAGGAAGTGGGTCATGGTGGGGGTGGGCTTTGAGGTTTCCTATGCTCAGGATAGCAGCCAGTGTCTCAGTCAACTTCCTGTGGCCTGCATTTCAATGTGTAGCCATCACTTCATCTGCCCGCACCCCACCATGCTCACTACCATGATGACAATGGTCTGAACCTCTGAAACTGTAAGCGAGCCACCCCAATTAAATGTTTTCCTTATAAGAGTTGCCATGGTCATGGTGTCTCTTCACAACAATAGAAATCCTAACTAAGACAGACCTCAACACAAAGCCAGATACCTTGAATCTGATAAGACAGAAGAGTGTGGAATAAGCTTGAACACATTGGCACAGGGAAAGAGGCTCTGAACAGGACACCAATAGCACAGGCATAGAGATCAACAGTCAATAAATGGGACCTCATGAAGTTGAAGAACTTTTTTTTTTATGGCAAAGGACACTATCATTCACACAAAGCTGCAGGCCACAGGATGAGAAAAGATCTTCACCAATTAGACATCCAATAGAGGGTTAGTATCTGAAATCTATAAAGAACTAAAAATACTGGCCATAAAGAAATCAAACAACCCAATTAAATGGAGCGCAGAACTAAGTAGAGTTCTCAAAGGATGAAACACAAAAGGCTGAGAAACACTAAAGAAATGGTCAACATCCTTAGTCATCAGGGAAATGCAAATCCAAACTACTTTGAAATTTCATCTTATACCAACCAGAATGGCTAAGATCAACAAAACAAATGAGAGCCCATGCTGGCAAGGGTATGGGGAAAAGAGAACACATATCCCTTGCTGGTGGGAGTGCAAACTTGTACAGTCACTATGGAGATCAGTGTGGTGGTGCCTCAGGAAATAGGGAATAGATCTTCCTGAAGACCCAGCTATGCTACTCTTGGTTATATACCCAAAGGACTCTAGATCCTTCTAGAGAGGTACTTGATGACCATGTTCATTGCTGCTTTATTCAAAATAGACAGAAACTGTTAAGAGTGTAGACATTCATCAACTGATGAATAATGAAACTGGTACAAATACACAATGGAAAATTATTCAGCTATTAAAAAATAAATTATACGATTAACAAAATATGGATGAAGTTGGCAAAATCATCCTGAGTATAGTAACCCAACACACACACCCCAAAGCAAATACTGTTATGTTTTCTCTTATCTGTGAATGTTAGCTTTTAAGTATTCAACAGGCAAAACAGGGCACCCATGGTCAGTACCTTGGAGTGGTATTCCTGTCATAGGTCCTTGTCTCCTGCTATTGTACCTGTGAGTTGTATAAATGCAATGGCGATGTCTACACTGCTAACAACTGGCCTATCTGGTCAGCCTCAGCCAATGTGGGCAGAACATCACTTCATTGATCAGTTGGGGTTCTTGGTTAGAAGCACTAAAACCAATACCAGATAACTCAGTTTTAAAAATTGCTATGATTACACAGCAGTTTGTGACATGAATTCAGGAGTGCCACTGGATCCCAGGAACTGGCTTCATGTGTGGTTCTGTCCATGCATGTGTTTTGCTATTACCTGTGTGTCCCCACGGAAGGGTTTCTCCTGATTTTCTGGTCTCTGTCATATGTGAGAAATGTCCGTTTCCAGGTCCAGAATAACTTGGTAGAAATCCACTTACCTGGAGAACCAATCCCTGGAAAGTGCTAATTAACACAGGACAGCTGGAGCTACCAACAAGGCCCAGGAGGGTAGGAGTGTGCTGTTCAAAGCATTTGTGAAGATCTCTCTATGGGTATGAGATGGCCATGTGAGTATAAAAATGCATCTGACTTTGGGGCATAAATCCAAGAAAACAAAACCAGCATATCAAGAAATACCTGCACACTCATCTTTATTGCAGCATAATTCACAATAGCCAAGATATAGAACCAACCCTTGAACACGGCCAGGGGATCAACCAGGGAACAAAATATCCCCTTCCAAAGGCACATCCCAATGACCTCCTTCTTCTAACTAGGTCCCACCTCCTGAAGTTTCTACCACCTCCCAGTGGATTCACCAATGAGTAATCTGCTCAAAAAGGGCTGAGGGATCCGACCACGTGATGCAGTTAGATCCCGAAGGCCCCATCTCAAAATACTGTTGTATCACACAGCAAACCTCAAACATATGGGTTTGGGTAGACATTTAGAACTCAAGGAGTAACATTTGAGGGCTGCAGGAAACCGCTCTGCTACTTTCTCTGAGAGATGGCAGGGTAGTGAAGCATTATTATTATGGTCATTTCTCTTGTTATAAAATTTAAAAAACATTCGAAGAAGTCTGTTTTTTTCCCCTACCTCCAAAATACTGTCTACCCACATTCCCTTTCATGCTCTCCTTTTGTTATCATATCCTCAGTGTTGTTTACAGATAGGCTGGGCCTTAGTCATGGCCTGTACAACTGATCCCACGTCAGGCCCAAGAGTTGCAGGTTAGGCTGGGAAGAGAAAGTGAAGACTGGAACCAATACCAAGGGGTTAACAGTGAGCACAGGGCAACTGGAAGCACTTCTTCAGCAAGGGAGCTCAGCAGCTCATCTCTTGAGGTGATTATGGGAGAGGGGATCCCTGAGATCAAGATCTGAGCACATTGTTCACTCTCCTAAGAGGCTCAGCGGAGGTGGCTAAAGTCCATGGCAGGTTATAACCACTTGAAGAATCAGGGCCCAACTGAGCAAGCAGCAGGGATCCAGGTAAGGCAGGGATCCAGGTTATCCATCAAAGTCTTGGGATACTTTCTGTAAAGAGAAGAGAAAAAGGAAGTGAGGGTGGAATCAGGTTTGGAAAGGTTAGTTCCCCTCAAGCTAAACTGGCCAAGGGAGTAGATGGAGGGTTAGAACAGGAAAGAGCTAATCTACATGTGGAGCCCACCATGATATGAGAGAGGTAATAATCTGGAGCTGTATTCCAAAGGTACAACAGTTACATTCTCTGTGAGTCACAAATAGTACAGGCCTTCTTCTGCATGGACAGACAGTTCATATCAGCCTCCCGAAGGATGCCAAAACCCACAGGTATGATAGTCTTCTATGAAGTATACAAAAATTTGCAAAGAACCTAAGCACCTCCTTCTGTGTGCTTTAAGTCACTCCGAGATTGCTTCCAACACCGAGTGCAGCACCACTGTGTGGAGAGCTGTCCTGCTACAGTCTTAAGGGAATAGTGATAAGGTAAGTCTGTGTGCTCAGGACAGGTACAGCTTTGTTTCTCCAATATTTCTCAATCCACGGATGCAGAATGCAGGGGAAAGGATGGTTGACTGTGTTCATGCCTTATCCTTACACACTCACAAAGTCTTTGAGGTAAATTGGACAAAGGAGTCTTTTTGTCTGAATTTTAGGGTGAAGCAGTATTTGCAGAGTACACAGTTCAATGTTTTCTGGGCATTAACTGTTCCCCCACATTCTTTTTGGTTAAAATCAGTTCTCAGTTCACTTTAGAGTTAGTTACTTAAAAGAAAACAGCCACCTCCCCATCCTAATTCCACAGCTGGGCTGCAGCCCTTCAGCTAGAGTCAGGAGTTATACTTGAACATCCTCTCCTTCCTTCCCTCCTTCGAGGAGGCCAGTGGTTCAGGGCCAGGATCCTGTACTCTCTGGCAAGATGCTCATAGGCCTTCTCAAAAGAGCTCCCTGCCAGCCACCCAGCTCTTCTACACACACACACACACACACACACACACACACACACACACACACACACACACACACTGGAAATAAGGTTTAGGAAGCCATGTCAGACTGAGGTCAACCTGCCTTCTATAGTTAGCTCAAAATTAGGGCTTGAAGGTTGGGGTCACCTCAGAGAACTGACCTGGGGTAGGAAGCAAACACTAATTTATTTAGTTTTGCTGTATGGTTTAAAAGTCGTTTGCATAGTTTGGCAAACTGTTTTCTTTGACTTACTTTTTCTCATGTTTAATATAAGGACATTGATCAACTCCTAATATTCTTATGTTCAATAATTGTATTTTAAAAATACCTATCCTTGCCCATCACCAACCTCTTCCAGACTCCAAAGAAAAACAGAACTACTGCTAGGAGCCTGAATCCTAACCGTGGAGACTTGCTGGTACAGAGCAGGTAATGACCACTGTGACTCTCAACCCTGGTGGAATTACTCTGACCACTAGAGGGCGTCTGCCTCTCTTCCGCCTTTGTCCCTTGGAAGTGCAACCGTAGTAGGTCAGTAGGACTTACCTGAGCAGATCACCGCCACATCTTCCTTGTGGGTACAGTCATGGTACCCCCAGAACCTGTGCCGGCAGGACTCCAGGGACTGCTCCTCCCCCGAGCAAACGACATCATCCAGCCAGACACGGCCGGCCCCAGGTCCGTAGCTTTTTCGGGCTTTGGAGGATGGAACAAGGGGCTTCCCACAGCCCAGTTGCTTGCATACCACTTGGTCCTCCTTCTCTCCCCAGCCATCATCACAGACAGAGCCCCAGGTACCCTGGTGCAGCACCTCCAACCTCCCAGAGCAGGGGTTGTCTCCTCCTACCAGCTTCAGCTCAAAGGGATCTGCAGGGGGAAGGGGGAAGGTGGTGACGTAAGAGATGAAAAGAGAAAATAAGATTACGCGCGTGGTCTCCAAAGCCCCACCAGTAAGTCTGAGACTCTCTATGTGTGTTTTGGCGACAGTCTCTCCTTCCTTAAGTCTCCTTCCATTTCCAACTCTGTTTCCCTAACTAGAATGTTTCCACTTTATTTTCTAAATATAGTATCTCTATATGTTATATTCATAAATATCTATTATTTATAGATACACAATATGTATGAAGGAATTTCTAGTGGTTATTACAAACCAAAGAACTCAGCATGTATACCCTATTTACGGCATTCTACATCATAGTTCATAGTACGATTGCACAATGCACAATTTTTGTTTCCCTCTACAAAGGGAGTTATTTTTTAAGAGAATTGGCAATCCACACAAATATATAAATTTACAATGGCCTTTTAGTGCATAGGTAGTTTTGTAAATATTGTTTGCCTGGGTTTCCTTAACTACATTTATGAATTAACCTAATCTCCGGATGTAGGATCCATTATATTCTGTTACCTTCGCATTCCACCCATGCGTCCTCATCATGGGTACAATTTTTCTCCAAAGACCTAAAAGGGCAGTCCCGAAGGTTTGCTTCCTGTCCAGCACACGACATCTGGCTCGCCCAGATGGGCCCTTTGCCCTGAGTCGTCTTGTTGCAACATGCGTGGGTCAGTAGCGCCCGCCCACATCCCAGCTGCCTGCACGCCACCTTGGAAGCCTGTAAATTCCAGCCTGCTTTGCACACACTGCTCCACTCCAGCTGGTGCAGCACCTCCACACGACCCTGGCAGCGTCCCGGGCCGTCTACTAGTCGCACATTCTCTGGGATGAAGGGGCTATCGATGTCTGGGTCTGGAAAGAAAGGGAGAAGCCATGTCTCTTCCATGCTAGCATATGGTCTTCTCAGAAAAGGGAGTCTGATTATACATGGCTCTGTTCTTGGTGGTCAGTACAAGGCTATTCGAGTGGTAAGCACCACATAATGGCTGGGGGCCAAGGGACTGAAGTGGTGGTTTCTTGGTCCCCAGATAAATCATAATCATTTCTGTAGCATTTTAGTTTTTCTAATTTATTTCCATAGTCAACTTACTGCTTCTCACAAAAGACAGATAAGAGCTATAGATTTAATATTAATCTGCTGATTTAAGTATTAATAAATACATATGTTAACACAAAATGTCAAAATATTTTGGCTCAATGTTGGCATAAATCAAGTAATCTAGACTAAAGCTCCCAAACCCTGACTTTCCTTAAAAAAAAAAAAAAAAAAACCCTGGAGACTTTAACATTGGGGGGGGGGGCAGCATCTTTTCTTTAATGATAAATCCTGTGGGGAGACAAAAAGAAGCGGATAGAGTCAGCCTTGCAGTCCAATCACAGGCTTTGGAGAAAGCACACACATACTGTTAATTCCTAGAAAGCTAGTTATGTAGAACAGTGAAGGAACACACTGCTGTGGGATGTTAATGTATGTCCTGTGGGAGCCCTTCTTGGGTTCCTTGTGGCGTTACCCAGCAGGTTTGCATAGAGGATGATTAGGACCATGGGCCTGAGTGCAGGTGTCTGAGATGGTCTGCACTTGGCTGTGTTGGGGGATGGTCTGTATGTCAAGTTGCTCTAATTGGTCAATAAATAAAACCTGATTGGTTGTGGCTAGGCAGGAGGTATGGGCGGGACTAACAGAGAGGAGAGATAAAAGAGCAGAAAGGCAGAAGGAGACACCGCCAGCCAGCTGCCAGCCACCCGCCAGCCACCCGCCAGGACAAGCAGCATGTGAAGATGCTGGTAAGCCACGAGCCGCCTGGCAAGGTATAGATTTGTAGAAATGCGTTACTTTGAGATATAGGAACAGTTAACAGGAGGCCTGCCACGGCCATACAGTTTGTAAGCAATATAAGTCTCTGTGTTTGCTTGGTTGGGTCTGAGCGGCTGTGGGACTGGCGGGTGACAGAGATTTATCCTGACTGTGGGCAAGGCAGGAAAACTCAAGCTACAACACACAATGTAGCCATTTGTTTGTGCAACTGTATTGGTTGCACATTTATATGCCTGTATCCATCTGTCTCTGAGACTGCTTTGGCTTCCTATCAGCATCTCCTGTCTTCCCAACTAAGCTGATAGATAACTTGAGACTGGAAATGCTCACAAGAGCACATGTTAAATCCCATGAGCTCTTCCATAACTCCATCCCAGCTCCAGACACAGACACTGAACAAAT